GAAAAGCTAAAGGAGTTCATTACTGCCAAACCAGTATTATATAAATTGCTGAAGGGTATTCTTTAAGAAGAGGAAGAAGAAGAAAAGGGTAAAGATAAAAATTCTGAACAAAGTGACAACAAATACATATCTAACAATATGTGAATCTAAACATCAAGTGAATAAAAAAATCTGATGAACAAAATAATCTGGTGAATAGAATAGAATCAGGGACATAGAAAGGGAATGGACTGACTATTCTGGGGGGGGAAAGGGGTGTGGGGGATGCGAGAAGAGACTGGACAAAAATCGTGCACCTATGGATGAGGACAGTGGGTGGGGAGTGAGGGCAGAGGGTGGGGTGGGAACTGAGAGAGGGGAGTTATGGGGGGAAAAAGAGGAACAAATGTAATAATCTGAACAATAAAGATTAAAAAAAATAAATAAAAAGATAAAAAAAAAGAAAAGAAAGAGCTGTGAACTATGGATAACCCATAAATTCATAAAAAAAAAAAAAAAGAAAGTGATTGGAGTCTGGGTGTATTTTGAAAGTAGAACCATGAAACTTGCTTGTGGACCAGATATAGCATATGAATAGAGAAAAAAAAGTTAAGGATGATTGAACAACTGGAAGGATGTTGATAGCTATGGAGACGAAAACTAGAAGATTGGGTTTATAGGAGGAGAAATCAGGAGTCCTGTTTCAAACAAGTGAAGGTTGATATGTCTACTGGTGAAGATTTTTTTTTAAAAGTTGCATAACATTTATTCACTACTACTGGAGGCCAATGACATGTCAATGAGATTTTTAATAGTTATTGAATAGGCAGTTAGGTATACAACTTCAGAGTTCAGGCAGGAAGTTCAGACTAGAGATATAAATTTGTGAGTTATCAAACAATAAATGATTTTTAAAAACCTTCAGATGGAGATGGAATGAAATAATCTAAACCATCAACAAAGTAAAAGAACAACCCCAATGAATGGGAAAACATATTCGCCAATGATACATCTGATGAGGGGTTAATATCCAAGTTTATAAAGAACTTACAAAACTCAACACCAAAAACCAAAACAATACAATTTAAAAATGGTAACAGATCCTGAATAGACACTTCTACAAAGAGGACATACAAGTGGCCAGTAGACATATGATAAGATGATCAATATCCCTAATCATTAGAGAAATGCAAATTAAAACCACAATGATTAAACCACTTTACACCTGCCAGAATGTCTATCATGAATAAATCAACAAACAACAAGTGTTGTATAGGATGTGTGGAAAAGGAAAACAGTGTGCACTGTTGGTGGGAATGCAGATTGTTGCAGCCACTGTGGAAAAACAGTATGGAGTTAACTCGAAAAATTAAAAATGAAACTGCCTTATGACCCAGTGATTCCATTTGTGGGTATATATCTGAAGAAACTCAAAAGACACATTTAAGAGTATATGCACCCCTCTGTTCATTGTAGCATTATTTACAACTAGAGGCCCTGTGCACGGCCATAAAAAGAAGAAATCTTACTCTTTGTAACAGCATGGATGGACCTGGAGATTATTATGCTATGTAAAATAAGCCAGTCAGAGAAAAACAAGTACCATGTGATTTCACTCATATGTGAAATCTAATGAACAAAATTAACTAACAAACAAAATATAAACAAACTCATAGAGAACAGACTGACAGCTGTCAGAAGAGGAGTTTGGGGGACTGGTGGAAAAAGTAAAGGGATTAAGTAAAAAAAGAACCCAAGTCAGACACAGACATCAGTATGGTGATTACCAGAGAGAAAGGGGCTGGAGGGAGGTAGAAGAGGGTAAAGGGAATAAATAGTGATGGACAGATACTTTACTTTGGGGTGGTGGTGAACACACAACACAATATACAGATTATGTATTACAGAATTGTACAACTGAGATTTAAATAATTTTATTAACTAATATCACCCCAGTAAATTCAATATAAAAATAAATGAGAATAGGGGACCTAAATCCTAGGGAACTCTAGTATTTAGAGATCAGGAAGATGAGAATTAATAGTATTCATAGGTATTCATGATTTAGACATGCTTCCTTGCAGAAGCCATTAGACATGGCAGTTTTACAGTATGCCTTGTTTTCTAATGTCAAATTATTAGAAATTTTAAGGGTTGCTAGTGATGGCTTTACTTATTAAAGAGAAATGGATTCATTTTATAACTTAAAATACACCTATTTCTATTTCCACTGATTGAATGAAAGGAGCACCATTATATTTCCTCATAGCAAGTTTTTAATTATAACACTATACATATTTCATGAATAGTTTTAATGTTTGTCTTTCTCTGCACACTCACAGACTTGGGCATCTCTCTTATTCAGAGCTCTATTCTCCAGTATCTGACACAATGCTTGCTACATGAACCTCAATAATAAAAGAGAACTTTCTTCATTCATTAACCAGAATGGGTTCTGAGATTCTATTAGTTGTTAGACACTGTCTAAGTTGTGCTGAGGATACAGAAGTGCATCAGACCCTGGCTTAGAGGAACTCTCAAGCTAAACTAAAACTGAGATGTGCAAGAACAAAATGATTCTTGCTACAAGGTATCTACATATGATCAATGTCTGCCCTTCATGTAGGTGGATTAAGTGGTTGCCAATTGCATAGGGGAAATTATCCAAATTCTGTATAAAATTGAACCCCGTTTGAACATGGTACATTTCACACCATATTGTTATCATTTTAATCTCAAAATAACTCTACAATTTAGATACTATTACCCCTATTTTGCAGATGAGTAAACAAAGGTTCAGGATGTCTAGCAAGAAGTTAGCCCTACTGAACCAGGTAACTGAATCAATGGCTGAACTGGATCTCGTCAACCAGGGTTTCCTGATTTCACTTTCCATATTAGATTCCTTTATACTTAAATGTTCTATTATTTTAAGATGGAACCAATTCAAACAGAGTAAGAAATGGTATTGGAAAGATAAAAGCATTATTTCAGAATAATGACATTTCCCTACTTCTAGAGCTTCATGTCGAAGTCAAGTATTAGAGCTGGCTGGAAAATAAAAATTCCATCTTGGCAAGGAGGTACAAATAGTGACCTTGCTGATTGAATCTGTTCTATTGCTTTATAGCCTAGACAAGAACACTGATTGAGAACATTTGTTTGGTTACACTGACAAACCCTTTGCCAGATGCACACATACAGAACCTATTTAGCCTTTTGCAGTAATCAAGAGCTGTAGCAGGGTAAGAGCCAATTTCAGAAACTGCTCCAGCTGCTGGGGTTGTTTCTATGTCTGCTTTTATCTCATTTATCTATAAATTTACAGTTTATTTTCTTTGCCTATTAATACAATTTCCACCCCATCTGGAATCAACTATAGAGAGGGATGTCCATAAATGCCAAATTGTTTAAAAATATATGCACCTGCTAAAATCCTCTTAACATTAGGTCATATCATTAAATATAGTTTATAATTGTGTTTATAACAATTATAAAATATTGTATGATGCTATTTATTATTTTTATTTATATTTTAGTCAGGGAATAAAGAGTGACTTCATTTCCCATCCAATAATAAAGTTCCTAGAATTGCATAAGATGATGAAATATAGATTCAGTTTTGAATGACAATACCTAATACATTTTAAGTAACATTTATAACCAAGGTACATTTTGTCTTACTGGATTTAACATATAATAATATTTCATTTCATTTATCCACTTTATAATCATATAAATCATAGTCATTTTACACTAATACCTACAGCAAAAGATATATATTTTTCCTTAAAAAGATAGACTGTTTAATATAAGTTTATACTAAATGATAACATAAGACCAGGAAACAAATCTAACTTCCATAATTATTTGGTAGGTAAACAAACCATAGTAATAATTGTAAAACTAAATACCCTTTTTACGCAGCAGAACGCTGGCATGTTTCCTTCCATTTCGGTTTTCCACATGGCAGGTATAATTTGCCAGATCAGCCTCCACCACTGAATCAAAGATAAGTGCCAACTCAACTTCTTTTTCTCCAAGATGCTCTTTGAGTAGCCTGAAATAAAGACAATATTGTTGGATAACTTGGTTTGATTTGGGAAGAGAGCAGCTATAAGAAGACTGCAAATGCTTACAATGCTCACACAGGTTATCCAATGGGCATAGAGAATCCTGACAGTATATCGTGGAACCTTTAACAAGAAAACACAAAAAAGTGTCTCTTGATGTGAAGATCAGGTGCCAAAGGAAAGAAGTGAGGAATTCCACTTGGCAAAAAGAATTATTAACATGCTATTGACAAATGAAGCCACCACGATTTTGTGTGGCAAAAAAAGAAGAAACATTGGATTCCATATTCTAAGCTGAGCTTACAAAAACAAATTGGCCTTGGTCAAAGTGGCTCAGTTGGTTTGGTGTTGTCAGTTTATCTGGGGGTTGTTGATTTAGATGTGCCTGTCATGGCACATGGCTGGGTTGTGAGCTTGATCCATGGTGGGGAGAGAGGGGTGCCGGAGGCAGCCGATTGATGTAACTCTCTGGTATGGATGCATCTTTCTCTCTCCCTCTCCCTTACTCTCTCTCTAAAAATCAATAAAATCATTTAAAAGAAACCCACAAATTGTATTTTTTCACTATGGCATGAAGGAAAAAAAATCTGTAGGAGTGTTGGGTTTGTGTTGGACATTAGAGTTTTGACAACAGGGGCTGAGGGGAGAAAGAAAGGAGCCTTGAAAATAGTTGCCTTATAATAAGTAAACTGAGGATGTTAGTGGCCTTCTATCAGCAAATGTCATTGAGAAGCCTGTTCTTAGATTTTTCTCCTGCCTCTTTGTTCAATGCAGGCACATGCCATACCCTATCTCCACAGTGCTGCTAGCTCCCAACCAGGGCCCTGCTTTCTTCAGACACTGCTCTTTCTTTCTTTCTCTTTCTCTTTCTCTTTCTCTTTCTCTTTCTCTTTCTCTTTCTACATCTCTTTCTCTTTCTCTTTCTCTTTCTCTTTCT